GTTTTCATTTCAACTGTTTGCACGATTTTTATTATTTATTTTAATTATTATTATATACACATACACACATTTGCGATATAAATATTCATATGAATTATCAAACTTTTTTATTATTATTATTATTATTATTATTTTTTGTTTTGGTTCTTTCTTTTTTCTTTTTTTTTTTTTTTTTTAATATCACTTATTCGAGTAGTTAAAAATAAAAATACATGATTGATAAAACGTTCACATACTCGCTTAGATCTTCATTCAAGATTTTTATTTCGGAAGTGTCAAATAAGTTGATAGTTGTGTTGTTATTCCAAGATTTTACATAGGGATGGCGTGCAAAGTTATTCAAATTATTTAAATTAGATCATGCTATATGGTCTCGGTACAAATGAAAACACACATACATATCCATACGTTTTTAACACATATATCTATCTATATATATATATACACACATGTGTTTTACGAATTACGTGTTGTTATTAGATGTGTGTATGTGTTACGAATTATGTGTTGTTAGTATATGTGTGTGTGTGTGTTGATATACCAAGAAAAGTAGGATAGCTGTTGGAATTTTCCCAACCGGAAGTTGAATTTCACGAGAGAAAGAGCTTCGCGTGAGAAACATTTTGATCGGCGGATTAATCAGGATTTCCACGGAAACATTTTTACATGTAAAAATAATCCCAAAAAAAAAAAAAGAAAAGAAGAAAAAAAAGAAAATCCAACCAACTCATCCAACAACCCCCAAAGCTCCTTCCTTCCCCTTCACAAGAAACAAAAGTGGTGGCTTCCTACGTTTACGTAGAAATTCTTGGTTATCTACGTTAAATGCAAATCTTTTTCTAAGAATTTTAACGAACGTTAAGGTTACAAGAATTATTTTACATTGTTTCAAGGTTTCTAATTTCTAATTTTGTCGATGTTGAAATAAAACGAAAACAAAAATCGAGCATGAAGACGAACAAATTTGTTAAATGGTGTATTATAAATGCGAATTTAAAATTGATGATGATATCAACAATAATAAATTACAGTCACGTATCATTAAAATACAGTACGAGTAATTTAAATAAAGATACTTTTTTACAGTATTAATTAAAATCAATTATATGAAATAAATCGAAAATTTAAATTAAGTTTTGTTTTATTTAACACATTATGTACACCAATTTTATATTTATTTATTTATTTATTTATTTTTATTAATATAATATAATAATAATAATAATTAATAAATTAAAACATTATATAAATATTATAATTTATTTTTTTAGTATTAATATAAAATTCATATTATAAAAGTTAATATATATATATATATATATATATATTAGATTATTATAAAATTTATATTATAAAAATTAATATATATTATACTATATTATTATTTTATTATATTATTCTTATGTTTTATTAATTAACAATTATTATTAATAATATTATTATATAATTCATATAATAAAAATTAATATACATGTTGCACTCTTATTATTTTTATATTATTTTTGTATATTTTATTTAATTATCAATTATCAATTATTATTATTAATATTATTATAATATTGTTATTTATTAAATTAATAATTTATATATATTATTTATATTATTAATTAGGTCACATTTATTTTAACAAATATAGCAGATTCCTACAAGTTTTTAGTTACGTACATCCGATAAGTGAAACAAGTCGGATATTGATCAGACCAAGTGATAGTCACACGTATATAGACTGCCATCTATCCGTAGAAATTTCACTCACGTAGATACTTGATGATAAGGGTAAGGGGAGAAAGAGAAGAAGGTTTTTCATGGTCGATGAGCTTTTACGATTTAGTAACACGAGGAGTACCACGTGGATACATGGATATAAATCGATTCGAAAAGTTACACGTACGAAACCACCCCTAACTTCAATTTCTCTACTTTCCCAGATACACACACACACATATATATACATATACACACTTCTACACAAACGTATACACTTCCTAACAAAAGTCTCATATCGTTGGTTGATTTTTATAAATAATTAAATAAATTTAATCAAATTTGTTAACATAATTTGTTTTATACAATATTAATTAAACAAATCTAATATAAATTGCAAAATTTAATCATAAAATTAATAACTAATTTTTGAAAATTCTACGAGAAATGTAAGAGGGTAGGAAAGGTGTTAGAATATCTAGAAATAATTAAAAAAAAATAAACTACAGGAATCCTTAGGAAGGAAACACATTCGTGTTTTATGTTATTGTATTTTCATATAATTTAAATATACGTAAGGGGTGTTTTTTTGAGGGGAAAACTTTTGCCTGGTATTGTATACAATCTATCATTTTCTAAGATATTTAACTTGAACTTTATTAGAAGATATATCCAATTCGGTAAATAACAAGAATTCTCTCTAGTTCCTTTCTATCAAAATCTATCAAGTTCTATTGTCGTGTATGGGGGTTCAAGAACACGATAACGTTGAACTAACTTAAATGACAAAGTTAAATTGACTGTGATAGCAACCACTCTCTCATATCATCCCCACCTTCTTACAACCCAACCATTCTGGGAAACATAACTTACAATATTTCTAATGGAACTTGTTTTTTTCTTCTTATTCTACATCGTATTTGTCAAATAATAAAATACACGTGTGTTCAATAAAAATATAATTTACAAAATTAAACAAAATAAATAACATTCACACACCACACATATAATATTATAAATTAAATTAAATTTAATGTAATGTAAATTATAAAATTAAACAAAATAAATAAAAACCATAGAAAATACATTATTATTAATGTTATTATTATTATATTGGTACGTAAAATAATTTTGGATAATTTATTGAGATATAAATTTTCAAGCAGATTTTTATTAGTACCTTTTCTATTATTCATTTTAATATTGTTTCTTCTTATTTTTAATATTTGCATTATTCTTATTATTATTATTATTAATTGGCATTAGAAACTCAAAAGTTCATTGCAGCAAATACCAAATCCCGTCAGTGTTCTCGTCCCTGAACGACGACCCTGTCCATTCGTGGTCTTCGTAGCCCACTTCTTTGAGATCCCGAAATAATATTGTCCTCCCATCTACGTTTCGGTCTACCCAATGGTCTTTTCCCGTTGATATACCGACCAGTATTTTATCCACCGTTTGATCCTCCCCCATGCGCGCCACGTGACCTGCCCATCTTAATCGGCTTGATTTTACGACGTTAATGATGTCCGGTTTGTTGTACAGTCGGTGTACTTCTACTATGGGGTTTTCTCCATTCACCCGTTTCCTCATCGCGTTTTTGCACCCGAAGATTTTACGAACAACTTTATTTTCGAAAAGCTTCAATTTCTTTTGGTCCTGTAACGTAAGTGGACCATGTTTCGGTACCATAAAGGACCTACCGGTAGGATGGTCCTGTATATCCTGATTTTGAAGCGCCTAGACAGCAACCGTGTGCTGAGTAATTTATTGACATTGCCTAAATTGATTTTTTTCTTAAGTTCTTCGTATATTTCATTCGTCTGATTTATGATTGATCATAAATACTTAAAATTGCTGACCCATTCCAAAAATTTTATCCCAGACGATCAAAGTTTCAATATTACGCACATTCTGAATTCTATCGGTGACCACATATTTGGTTTATTTGCAGCCTCAGTTCTAATTTACAAAGTTAAACGAAATAAATAATATCTGCACGTGCAATATATAATACTATTATAAATAATATTTAATATCTAACCTTAGTATAATTTAATATAAATTCACTGATAGTACAGTTTTCCCCCTTTTATGGGGTTTAGTATAATAGTTAGGGTAACTTTACACGAACAGCTCTATATATGGGTCGGTGGTAACAAAAGGGTTCACACCAAAGTTCAATAATTCACGTAAATATGCTTACACGTGTATATATGTATGTATATATATGTGTGTGTGTATGAATTTAATGAACGGTACTGTTGAGTAGAAAAAACAAAACAAAAAATGAAACGGAAGTGGAAGTGGTTGAAAGGGTATATTGTTATTTATATATTAATAAATCAATAAATATATAATCATGATATATTATTAACGATGATGTAATAATAAAATATTGATATCAGAAAATTGTAATAAATAATACGTATATAGAAGAAGCGTTAATAATAAATAATTCAATCGAAGTTAATCGATAATTGAAGAAAATTGACGAAGAATCGTTGTATTAATAAATAAGAACGTAGATAGATTTTTCTTGAGACAGTTAGTAACAGACAGACAGACAGACAGATAGATAGACGAACAGAATTTCGCAGTAATCGGTGTTTCAATAATTTATGAAATAAGATGAGAAATTACTTTTCGTAGATTAGAAATTAAATTTATAGAGACACCCTATATATATATATATATATATTATTATACTGTATATATGTATACTCATTATTACGTGTATTATATATATATATATATATAATTTATATATATAAATTAATTTATATTTATTTATTAATTATAATATATAAATTAATTTATATAATTAATATATATATATATTTATATTAATTAATATAATATAAATAAGAAATATTTATATATATTAATTAATATATATATTAATTAAATTATATATAATAATTATATATTATATATTAAATTTATATATATAAAAAATTATAAATATAATATATATATTTATATTAAATTCTAAATAAGATACACTTAGAAAATTATTAAAATTACAGTGTAGATCAATTAATTTGTAAATAAAAAAAAAAGGAAAATATTTGTAATATTTAAAATAGAATTATTATAATATTAATAAAATAATAATTGAATTGATTCTTTTCCATATTCAATTGTAAATATAATAAATTTTAAATTAGAATCATTTTAAAAAAATTATTAGGATTACTGTTACTGTGAAGATTAATTTATAAATAAAAACAGAAAAATATTTGGAATATTTGAAATAAAATTGTTATAATGATAATAAAAGAATAATTAGTTACTCACACAGAGAAGTGATACAGGAAGCACTTCCAGCCAGTAGGACGTTCGAGAAAGTTGTAAACTTGACCCTGGAAGGTTGCTTTTCCAGCACGACGATGTTCCTTCACGTGATAACGACCCTCCCACGTGTTACGATCACCTCCGGTACCAGTGCCACCCAACAGTAACCTTGGATCGACACCTGACAAATCGTGAAATTACAATTAGTGTTTTACGAATACTCCAACCTTGTATTTTGTTTTTCTGTTTTTATTTTCAAAATTCATCGAATTAGAAGATAAAAATAAATACAAAAAAGAAGTTAATTCAAATATTACTTGAAATGTTAAACATAAAAATAAAAATATATAGTTATATATATTATATTAAATATTTATAATAAACGCGTGTTATAAATATAAAAATAATAATAATTAAAAATATAAAATATTTATATTAAATTAATATTTTTAATTATTTTATGTATAAAGTAATTAAATTTACATTTATTTTATATTAATATAAAATTAAAATAAATTTAATTAATTTATAATAAACGTTAAACATAAAATTAAATAACAAAAATATATAGTATTTAATATATTAAATATATTTATAATTATTTCAACATATAAAATAATAATTAATATAAATTATAATATTTCAAATATAAAATATAACAAAAATTAAATGTATTAATGCATGTTTAATATTTACACACATTGTCTGTGTATTTCTGTGTATGTGTGTTTGTATGTGTTCAATATACAAGATTTAATTCAATTAATATTTCAATTATTTTTCAATCATTCAACATATCAAGTTGAAACATTTCAATCTTTTTATTTTCTGTCTTTTTTTTTTTATTTCATCTCACGTCGTTGAGGTTTTCATAAAACCGAAGATAAAAGTGAACTCCCTATACAAGGGATAGATAAAGTTAAAGGGTAATAGTATAGGAGGGGTGGGGGTGGGTTAGTATTATTAAGTGTCAAACGATGAACTGAAAAATAAAAAGAAAAATGAAAGGGGGATCGAAGATACGAGAGTTCAAAAATGGAGTCGTTTATTACTTTATGGTTTCCCTCAAATAACCTATAACTTGGCCTTGAAAGTGTTTATGCGAAGGGGGTAGTAAAACTACGACCCTTCTTTTGTTTTCTTCCTTATTCTCTTCTTCTTCTTCTTCTTCTTTTTTCTTTTTTTATTCTTTTCTTGACTTCTCAACGTCATTTTTTTTTTCTTTACAAAGAATACATTATTCTCTCCTCTTATCCTTTGCACAACCCCCACTTACCCTCCAATTCAAGTTGAATGACAATTTTATCAAGAAGGCAAATTTGCAATGCTAATAAAACGTCAACGTTAGGAAATAAATTGCAACTGGTTCTTTTTTTTTTTTTTTTTTTTTTTGAACTATCGAATATTTAGCTTGTGTCATACTTTTACCTTTACTTTGAATTAATTTGCAAAAGTCAGTAAATATAAGAATTATGAAATATTTTGTCATACTTTTAGCTTTACTTGAAATTAATTTGGAAAAGTATTAAAATAAAAAAAAATATATGAAAAGAAAATTAGTGCAACCATTCAAACAGTTTCTACTTTTTTTTTTTTTTTTTTTTTTTCTATACTAAATAAACTACCAAACATACTTTTACCATACACTTTGAATTAATTTACAAAAGTATAACAATAAAAAAAAAAAAAAATAGAATAAAAAGGAAACTAATGCAATCGTTCAAACTTTTTTTAGGATATTTTTTAAGAATATATTTGTCTTATTTTTTTTCTTTCTTTTATACGAAATAAACTTTCAAATATTTCGTTTATCATACTTTTACCTTAACTTTGAATTAATTTTTAAAAGTATAAAAATAAAAAATACTAAAAATAAAAGGAAATTTAGTAAAACAGTTGAAACTTTTTTTACGGTTTTTTGTTATTTTAGGAATATATTGTTTGCTGCTTTTTTTTTTTTTTAAACTAAATAAACTATCGAATACTTAGTTTGTTTCATACTTTTACCTTCACTTTAAATTAATTTGCAAAAGTATAAAAAAAAAAATAATAATGTTCGTACAACTGTTCGAACTTTTTTTACTATTTTTGTTTCTTAGGAATAAATAATTTTTTTGTTCCTTTTTCTTTTTGTTTTTTTTTTTTTGTTTTTTTTCTAGTTCTTTAATATACCATCTGTTACAAAATAATATTATAAGACTCGAATTATATTCTCATTTTAAGATTGAAGTATTTAAAAGGGTTGGAATAATTTAAGGCACAAGTTATATTCACGAACTTTACGAATATTACGATGCCAACTTTTAAGACATTTGAATTCGAATGAATTTAATACGAAGATATGAAGAATTTTGTTTGCTTTAATGAAAACATTTCCAAAATTATATTGCTCGTTGTTGCTTTTCAAAATGATATATGTCCCGATAATTATGAAAATGATTTAAGCCATATATTTCATATGTTTCAAAATATTTTAAAAATTATATTTGAACATTAAATGAATTCTTTATAATATTAAAACAACAAACATTATTTAACGATTGATTTTTTACATTATCGTGAGAATTACATTGATTTTATTTAGTTTAAAATAATGCGATGTGAAATAACTGATAAACTTCATGTTTTTTTAAATTTTGTCTTACAATTAAATCTCCTTTCATAATTATGGGCAGATATGTAATATGATATTAGAAAATGATTTTATTTCAATTGGATAAATGATACTTATATTTTCTGTGGTTCCAGTTTTCTTCCTAATACTAGAATTTCTATAGAAATTCGTACGTCTTCCGGTATTCCTATTATTATTGTTCCCATCATTTTCGTATTCAATCACAAACGACGATCTATTTTTAACGTTGGATCGCATATTATGCGACGTTGAGTAACAAAATTCACGATTAAAATAATCTTCAATGTTATATCTTCCATTTATTATATTTCTTTCTTCTTGGAATAATTTCTTATATGAAAAAAAAAGAAAATTAATAAATAAATAAATAAAATAATAAGTATTCGTATGATAAAGAATTAAATAAAAAAAAAAAAAAGTTTAGATAGGACGAATAAAAAAACACACACAGAAATAAAATGATAATATTAATAATATAAAATAATAAAAAATAAAATATGATGAAGTAAAATGAAATAATAATAAAATGAAAAATAATAATATAAAATAATGACAAATAAAATAATAATAAAATAATCTAATAAAAAATAATAAATAATATATTTTTATATATAGTTATAATGAAAAAAAAATAATTAAATGAAAAAAAGTTGAAATAAAATAAATTAAAAAAAAAAAAAAACCCTCCAAAGAAATAAAATTTTAAATAATAAATAAATATTTGTCTTTCTTTTCTTCTTGTTCTTTTTTTTTTTCTTTTCTTTTTTTTTTTATCTTTTTGTTTTCTTTTCTAAATTTGTCACAACCGTAGTACAATGATAAAAAATAATATTACGGAAAACACAAGTTGTAAGAACCGATTGACAACTGATCGAACAATACACAGTGGACATCAGAGACAACGATAGGAAATCCAATTATCGATAAGTTAGTATTGGTTGACCGTGTGTGCTCACTGGCTTACTTTCCAACTCGTCAAAATAATCTTTCTATTACGTAATTATACGTATAGACGTATACTAATATACTTTTTAGATGTATTCTTCATTTTAACGTCGATATGATGGTAATAATGAAAACGAGAATATACAAAGAATACAATCGTAACAATAACAATAATAATAATAATAATAATAATAATAATAATAATAATAATAATAATAATAATCGTAATATCATATAACTGTTTAAAATTAAAATGATAATTATACCAATCCTAGTGTACAACTGTAATCATTTTTAGTATCGTTGATTGTATCATTAAATAAATATAAAAGTGTTTGATATATTTGCAAAATATGTTACTTCCTTTTATTCTTTTTTATTGATAATTAAATATACATTTAATTAAATAAATTATATTTATATATTTAAACAAATTAAAAAAGAATAGTAAGTATGTTAATAGTAAATATAGTAATATATAGAAATAAATGCAATAATAGTAAGTAAAAAATAAAAATTAAAAAAATAGTAAGTATGTATAAAGTAATATTAAGTAAAGTAATATTTAGTAATAAATATAGTAATAATAAGTAAAAAAATAAAAAGTATGGTAATATTAAATATAGTAATATATATATTAGGTCGAGAGTCATAAGTAACTTCCGATGCAACTGTGTAGAATCTATTTTTCGTATTTACCTACTATAAGTCACCGAAACAAACGGATTTTCAATATCACTATATAGATGAGAATTCAGTTAGTCTTCTGTTAACTTTTGTATGCAGTCAATGTTACATTTAACCATTTTTCTTAACCACTGAAATGTAATAGTAAAACGTGCATATTCGACATGTAATGCTTTAAGAATTTAAACAATGCAATAGCACTAAAGTGGCAGCTGAAAAAATATGAAGCGCATACAGTGCAGGACTGATAACTGATAGGGCAGTCAGAAATTGGTTTGTAAAATTCCGTTCTGGAGATACGATCTTAAATGATGAACCGAGTGTAGGACGTATTTCCGACTTTGATGAACCTTTTAAAGGTAATTTTGGAGCAAAATCTAATAGATACGTTGAACAATTGCAAAGAGTGCAAAAAAAACTTTATGAAAGGTGTCTTACACTTATCAGTCGCAGAAACACCATTTTTTGTCTGATAAAAAACGGAAGTTATTTATGATTCGACCTAATAGTAATAAATATAATAATAGTAAATAAAAAATAAATTTAAATAAATAGAAAGTATGGTAATATTAAGTATAGTAATATATAATAATAAATATAGTAATAAGAAATAAAAAAAAAACTCAAAAAATAGTAAGTATGGTAATATTAAGTATAGTAATCTATAGCAACAAATATAATAATAGTAAGTAAAAAATAAATTTAAAAAATAATAAATATAGTAATATATAGTGATAAGTATAGTAATAGTAAATAAAAAATAAATTAAATAAATTAGTAAGTATTTTCTTTTCTTTTTTATTATAATAATTAAATTATATTAATTAAATTAATCTGTACGATAAATTAAATAAATTAGTAAGTATTATTAATAAATTAATAATAATTTATTTATTATTATTAATAGTACATTTTTATGTATTTTGTTTCAATGATGTATCGTTGAGAAAATGACTGATATCAATAAAAAAAAAATATACATCTATATCCAATAATCGTTATCAAGAAGAAACTCACCACTCCCTCCCCCAACCCTTCAAACGAGTATTATCTTCGATAATAATATCGTAGGTACTTGAATATTTATAAATGACATACTAGTTGAAATAGTAGTATAGCAAAGAAGATTAATCGAAAAACCTTTTCCTAGAAGTCCGTTCGATTCGTTTGGAATTAGATCGAAATTAGAAAAATATCGTTGACGACAATAATAGAAAAATAAAAAAACAAAATGAGATAAAAAAAAATAACAAGATGAAGAAAAGAAAAATGAAATAGAAAATAATAAGTGATTGCATTTTTTTTATCGATCATAATAAAAAAAAATAATAATAATAATATGATATAAATAAATTGAGGACTTTTTTGATGAAATATTATAATTTAGAAAATATTTGAAATTATTATTGAATTGTAAAATTAATTTATAAATTAATAGTAAGTGTGTTTTAATAAGCCTTGTATAATTTTTTAAATAAATATCTTTAAAAGCTTTTATATAAATTTTCTACAAAAAAAATATATATCACAAATATATATATATATATATATATATGAAAATATAAAATATATAAAAATAAAAACATTGTAGAAATATTAAATATATAAAAATATTAAATATATAAAAATAGAAAATATATAGAAATAGAAAATATATAAAAAAAATAAAAGATATAAAAAATATATAATTAAATAAACATATCATATATCATATATATAAAATTACGGATTTATTAATTAAATCATTTGATAATTTGGACAATATTGGAAATTATTATTCCATTGTAAAATAATTTTATAACCTAATAGAAAATGTGTTTCCATAAGTTTCGAATAATTCTTAAAAAATCAAATTTTATAAAAAAAAAAAAAACAATAAAAAATGTTAAAATAATAGAATAATTGAATTAAATAATAATTATAAGTTAAATTCAGATAATCTGTTTTTTTTTTTTTTTAATTTTTTTTCAATTTCCGTTGATTGTATCAGCTAAATTATATAAGATAAGATAAAAAAAGAAAAAAAATGAAGGGTTGAAATGTTTACCTCCAGTAAAGGTGTCATTGTTGTCAGACTGTAAGGTGGCACTGGTATCGGAAAGGGGTGATGGTGCAGGCCTTAAATCCGATGGTGGTTCCAATCTCAATAAATCACTTCCGGCATCTCCAGCACCCCCTCCATTTCCTCTTCCCACCTGTACAATCGTTGCATTAACAGGTCCCCGGTTACCTGTCATAGAACATAACAAGATCTGATAATTTCACGATTTTTCATACTCTAAAAACATCAATCACATAATTGACAATAAATGCCAAAAAATATATATATATATACATGCATATATGAATATTTTATATATTATATATTATATAATATTTATATATAATATTTATTATGAATAATTATAATATTATATATTATATAGTTTTATATAAAAAAAAAATTTAATATTATTAAAAATATAATATTTTATAACATTATGTTTAATATTATATAATATATATTATTATTATATTTATTATTTATAATATTATTATTTATAAATTATATTATTTATGTAATATTATTATTTATAATATGTTTTATTATACATTAAGATTATATAATTG